ATCATTCAGTGCTATATCTCTTACTTACCAATGACTAAGTCCCTCCCATCAACCAGACCAGCTGAGACCAACTCCTGAGAAACTCCATCAGCAGAATCTGCGGGCAGATATGAAGAGGAGATTGAGACCGGAGCCTCTTAGAACAAGACGGAAGAGAAGAAGCCAGCGGATGCATCCTACCTCTGCCCGACATGAACTCAAATCGGATGTCATTGAGTTCCTTCTTGGGATTCCTCAGTCTCAGGACGAGGCTGATGGGGACACTGGCATTGGCTGCAGCTGGTTCCTGCAACAGCACAACCGTTAAGTATAGCCCCTCTGGTCAGAATGCACAACATGGAGGTTAGAAACACTGCACCGACGATACAAGGGGATTCATATGTTGCCGAAGTGTGACCTGATTGTGGTAGTTTTCTTTGAAAAATTGACATTTTTCTTGCCTATTCATGGTGTCTGTTGAACACCAGTAGCACTATGGAGCCCTCACAACAGGAATGACTGTTTAGTTTGTAATAGCGCATGAATGATTCACATACTGCCACCGGTTTCTCGCTAATCGACAGTTGGTGCCAATAATCATATATAGGCACCAACAAGGGCAGCGAGGAAGACTACTGCAAGCTAGCAACTATAGCGGTAAACAATGCAGCGTTCAAACTTTTATGAGAAATGTGCTTATCACATGTTTTAAGAGGAATGAAATCTAAAAGATGTTTGTTGGACCTCAAAAGGTACACACAACGCATTTTGGTGAGCAACACTGAATGTAAACATAACTTAAGCTTCCTTACAAGAACATAGCACCTGTCCTCAAACGGGACTGTGTTTTTACCTGAGCAGTGGAGGGATGTGAAGGGCTTGCTGTTTGAGCGGGAGCCTGTGGCGCAGCATCATCTCCTGACTGGCCCACATTCGCAGGGCTCTCGCTCGCAGCACCGGGGGACTGCAGATGTTGTGTGGAGCCATCTACTGGTGGGAAAAGCTAAGAGACACCATTGAAAAGAAATCAGCAGGTGTGTTTTTTTGTTTTTTACATGAATGGAAAAACATGGACACACACAACACAGGACAGTCATGCAGATCGCTTAAGTGAGGCATTACAATAAATCAAGATTTTCAGGTCATGTCCACTACAAAATGGACTTACCTCCATATTGTCGGACCCGTCCTTCACTCTGGGGGACTGCAGAATGGACATGACAGATTGTCAGGATTAAAAACATGCAATTCTCCTTTTATCCCCCCCCAATGTATGGACTGATGCAATATTGTAGGATTGAAGGAATTTCACACAAGGGGACTTTAAACGCAGGGCTTAACTGAAATCACAGTTAAGACAACAGACAGTAAAATCCCACACCAAGACATGAATTGAGTGTGAACACATGTTGGAGAATCAATTTTCAAACAGCAGGTCTAGTTATTCTTGACTCTCAGGTCTACAGATCATGACAGATTACTGGTGTAAACTAAACTTGCACTACACTGACATTGAGGCAGGAGGCCTAAGCAAAAGCACACTCCAGCTTGGCTAAGAAATGTTGAGACTAAAAGGTCTACTAGTACCATCCGCTGTCCATAAGGACGCTGTGTGCAGAGACAAACAAGAAAAGTGGCCTTATAAAGTATCTGAGTTGACTGTCGACGAGGGAAGGTGGAGTCTCACCCGCAGAGCTGCCACAGCAGCTTTGCCCTCCTCGCTCTCCTCGTCCAGCTCTTCGTCGCTCCACTCCCAACTGCCGTCCTCCGTCTTGTGGAGACGGCCGCTCGAGCCGGGCACACGACGTACCTGCACAGTGCATTAAAACAAACACAAAAAAACAAGATCCAAGTTTGGAAACTGGGACACACCGTAGACAAGACGGCACACCTGTGCAGAGCAACACAATGTCATAGATGTGTCATCTTCCACTAGTGTGCATTTGCGGTGTATTAGACTACCGAACCTTTTTGGATCGCTCCGTTATTGTTGGACCTTTGTGTAGAAGCCTCTCCTGCAGGTACTCGTTGTTCTGTAACAGAGAGACAAATGGTAATTACAGGATCTATGAAGATTCCCTCTGAAACACACATAAAAAACATTTCAGTGCATTTTAATAATAGTGATGTACGGCTCACTTTGGCTTTTGTGAAGAACTTGTGCTTCAGCAGCTCTGCTGCAGTTGGCCTGAATAGAAAAAAGAGACACAAGGCTCTTCATTATATTCATTACACAACTTCTAATGGAAAGAAAAACAAGCGCAAGTTTAATCTGCCATGAGGCAAAAAACAAAGAGGGTTTTAGCACCAACTGACCTTTTTTCTGGATCTTTCTGTAAACACAGAGAGAGCATCTTCCTGAAGGACTTGCCATACTTCTTCACCATCTCCTTGTCTGTGATGCCCGTCTCCAGACAGGGAGGGTCGTTCTGCAAAGTCAGCATCAGTACCTACGGACACGTAGAGAACAAAGAACAGCTTCAGGGAACTGATTAAATCAGCGGCCGATTCAAAACTGAGGAAACATTTATGGACTCCAAAGGTCATCAGCGTTTCAGCCACTAAATGCAACAGAACACCTTAAAACAGTCTGTCCTCCTTTTGTTAAAGCCATTTAAAAAAAAAAAAAAAAAAAAAAAAAAAAAAAAAAAAAAAAAAAAAAA